AATCAAACACAATAGAACGATCAGTAAACTCGTCTTTAACAGATTTCTAACACACAGTGGGATTTGAACAATATGATGTTTTGTCTTCACAGAGAATTGTCCGGTTGCAACAGATGCTGAGAAACGCTTCTCAAAACTCCTTCACGAAGGTGGGAACCCCTCCAGGGTGTTTTTAGACTCTCCCAGTGACGATGTCTCTTTTTGAACAGAGAGGTTTTATTGAGCATCGTCAGATTTCAGTTCACATTTCTAAAATGCGTCTTTGTGTATTTGGTGTTTGGTCCATGCAGGACGCTGAGCTCCTCACCGACGTCTCAGCTGCAGCTACAGACGTGACGGACGATAACCAGCGGCAACGCTCCGCACAGGTGAGGCTCAGCTCCGCACAGGTGAGGCTCAGCACCTGCAGGAAGGACACAAGGTTCAGCTCCAAAATCAAATGACACCAATTAAACACGTGAACTGGATCATTGTCACTTCACAGCTCAGAGTATTTTATCTTGGAGGATCTTCGTCCTCTTCCTCCTGCTGCACCTCCTCTCGTTTTGTTTCCTGATCAACAAAACATTCACGAGCAGTTCAGGAAGAGCTAAACCTGAAATCTGTTCAGTGTGTAGGTGTGTCTGTGTGTGAGCAGCCTGACTTGCACTTCTGTCAGTTCACTGTCGGTGAAACGACTCTGACGACGACAGCGTCACACACAGATCCTGAATCAGCTGCAGCGTCATGAGGACGTTTGCTCCGGTGGTTGATGTTTGTTCTGTCGGTTCAAATAGATTAAAAAAAAAAAAAAAAGAAAGAATCAGATTCTTTTTAACGTTGTGAGGTTTTATTGTTCTGTGAAAAATAGTTGACAAGTAGAAATACAGCATCTTTTCATGCTGGTGTCAAAACTTCAATAATCCTCATGCAGGTTTCACTGGTGTCACGCTGCCTCCTCCTCACTGTTACTATGAAAAGCATTTTTTTGCTGTGTCATGGTCTAATTCTTTCATAAAGGAAAACAGGAAGTGCTTCAGAAACTTATTCAACAGTGAAATCTAACACACCTGTCTGTCCTCCTTCCTTACAGAATGGAGTCAACGTGGGTTCGGCCAGAATAAATCCATTTTATGAATATTATTTGGTACGTACTTCACAGAGCGTCTGCTTAAAACCACATGAGAACATTTCATGAGCGAGTTGCTGATATCTATGTTCTACCATCTTGTGTTCTACCGTCATGTGTTCTACCATCATGTGTTCTACCATCATGTGTTCTACCATCAGGAATTGGGCAGCAAAGGTCAAGTAGTGGAGACGGAAACTTCTGAGGAAGCAAACCTGGAGACCAGCTCTGTCCCTCCTCCTCAGTTTCAGAGCTCATCTCTGGATTTTCACTCCGATGCTCACACGACGGAAAATGGAAACAAGTTTGCGGAACCTCAGAACGACCCGTTCCCGACCTTCACTCCCGGCCGTGTGGAAAACCTGTTTGATTCGCCGACATTGGCCCAGAAGGAACCTGCCAATGTTCGTCATCACAATGAAACCTTAGAGTCCCCGGACTTATTTAACGTGAACTCCACGCAAACACAGAACACCTCCGGAGCCTGGCACTCTAACAACTCGGACCCCTTTAAAGATGAGGGGCGGGACTTTCTCCAGGCTGCTAGAGGAGCAGATTCACCCCCCACAGCTCGAGCTGAGGAGGTGAACCTCTTTGAGAAACCCCCTCACGTTTCTGTGGACCCTTTCAAATCACCTCCAAACAAGCAAGAGGACCTGCTCCGGTCTTCACAGCCTAAAGTGGGGAATCCATTTTACTCTGGGTCCACAGATTTGTTTCCTACTGAAAGTGGGGAACTCTTCCATACGAGCGACAGACGAGATCCGTCGACCAAAGACAACGGCCTTTTTAAACCCAGGGACAATGTGGACGTATTTTCGTCTCCATCCACAGACACATTTGACCCATTCTCCAGCCCAATTGCAAGGAATCTATTCCAAGATGTCTCCAGTCCGGACGATCCATTTGGTACAACTCCTTTAAATCAAGACGACCCTTTCAAAGACGTTTCACATGTGACTCCAGACATCTTCCGACCACGTCCGTCAAACACACAGCCCGGCCGTGCTGTCTCTGAGGCCGGACTCTTCACACCTTCGCTCAACAGTTCATCAGAAGTGAAGCTGGACGTGCTGTCGACGCCGGATCTCTTCAGAGCGACGCCGTCAGAATCTCTTCCAGCCACCCAACCAAATTCCTCGAGCAAGTCACATGACATCATCTTGACAACGCCTCAGGGAACCAAACATGGTATTCTACATCCGACGCCCTTCAGTCAGGCCAGGAATCTGTCACCCAGTCAGTCTCCCGCAGACTTGACTCATGTACGTAAGAAAGTATCATTCAGTATGTACACAGCTGTAAAAACCAATGTTAAATACTTGTACTCAAAGTGGGCGTCCGGTGTCGCAGGATTCATCTCGAGCAATAAGACGCATTCTGATTCACACGTCTTGTGCTTTACATCTTCTTCACGATTCTACTTGCAGGTCCAGACCTTCAAACGTCCACCAAAGCCACTTCCTCGAACTCGAACACTGAGGAGAGAAAAACCCCCGAAACCAGTGCCCCCCACCCCTTCACAGCCCGTACGCAAAGACAAGAGTCGTCTGTTGTTGATTTCCTGGTTCTTAAGCTTTCTGTCCTCACTCTTCTTTCTTTTCTTTAGATTGAACCTGAACCCACTGTTCCAAAAACGACTCCTAAACCAGCTTTCAGGTCGCTGCCTGTTATTCACCGCAAACCCAAGACTCCAGTACGTCGTTGAAATGAGACCTGATAAGCATGCAACGTTGTGTTGGAGGATATTTCTCTAACGATCCAATTCAAGCAATTAAAATAGTCAGGTTTATAAAACACCGCAGATGGATCCTTTGTTATTAAGTCTATTTGTTTTACAGGAAAGTAAACCAGTGAACCCTGACAACTACGTCGTCTTCGAGGACATCCTGCTCATCGGACAGGTGAGTTTTCATAACAGAAATCAATATTAGATTCTTCAGATGAATTTACAAGTATCTGTATCTATAGCTTCACTTTATTAAAATGCTGCAGGAAAGGTGTGTGGAAGACTGGCCTGAGGACAGTCCTGAACTTGACCCTCAATTCAAACCAGTAAGAAATCACTCCGAACTTGTGTTTAGCTTCAGTTTCTCACCAGCAGTTCAAAATGTTTTTCATGCAAGTGAATGTCTCAGCTCGTGAACGATATATTTGTTTTCCTTCAAGTCTGGAAAGTTCAGACTGCGGCGAGAGTCCCTGAAGGTAAGAGACAGTTTATTCCTCTAGTTAACACCGTTTGTTTTCAAGTGTAGAACAATAAAATACAGAAGCTTCAACTCTCAGGTGAAGATGGACTCTGATGGAGGAAGTGGTGAGGACCAGGACGGTTCTGGAAATCAGAAGGTAGAATCTGACTTAACTCATCAGTCAATGATTAATATTAATATATTTTACAGAAAATAACCTAACAAACATTTAAAACAGAAAAAGGACAAGAAGTTCAGAATGTCCCTTCTGTCCAGGAGAGGCTCAAAGGTAAATCAATGGAAATCCCAGCTTCTCTGCTTTGTTTGTTTGTGCACGTGTCCGAACGATGCCTCTGGTTTTTACTTTGCAGGATAAGTTTCCTGACGACACGAAAGAAGGGAAGAGCAGGACGCTACCCACCCTCCGTAGATCCTCCAAGGTAACAGTCACCGTGTCTGGAATCAAACGCACAAATCAAAGTGTTGCTAAGCATTAACACGTCCCTGCATGTGGGTTAGAAGATGCGTTAAAGTACATGAAATGTAAAATGTAAATGTGCGTCTCTACTTTCTATTGTAGAGATAGAATAGAAATAAAATTAATAAATCTGTGAACGTCTCCGTGCTTGGTTTAAAAGTGAGTGCCTCCATCTCTTAGGAACATCTTTCAGAAGAAGCAGAGAATGAAGATGAACAGAACGGGCTGGACTACAGGGTTGATTGATTTCTTTTCTTCTGATTCTCTATATTTGTGAACAGGATTAGAAGAAGTAAAATGGTTTCATAATGTTTATTTCATTTTCAATCACCAGAAGAAACCTCTGAGCAACAAAGTGAGTCGGCTGCTGAGAAGAACATCCACCGTGTCTGCAGCGCGAGAGGGAAAGAGCGCAAACGAATATTCACCTTATGAAACGAAGGTTTGTCCTCTAAGGTCCTCTGCATGTCCTTACACCGTGTTATACATGAGACGTCTTCAGAACAATAATACATCTTTAACTTGTGATTCACCTTGTTACTGTTTTTGGTTTTTCAGCAGCTCAAATTATTTGGTTTTATAATTCCACGCAGGAGGAAAACTGCAGGAAGCAAATTCATTCACATCCTCACGTCAACGCATTTTAAAGGAGTAGGTTGAAAATGTACATTTTTTTATTTCTAACAGGCGACAGTGTTGGAAGACAGCGAAGCCGAGGACAGAGGACAAGCTCAACATGAGGTGAAACACTCGAGGCTTTGAAAGCTTTAGTTTCCCTGTTAAATAACGAAGCCACGAGCCAAATGTTGTTATTAGTGACGCCGTGTAGTACTCGTGTAGTATTAAGATGTTGTAGAATAAAGCAGCTAATTTTGAATACAATAGAGATTCCAATGCATTTCAAGCATTTAAAGGAAAAGTAAAAGTAAAAATATTATGACGTTTTGTCTTTTGTTTCTCCAGAAGAGAAAAAACAAGATGAAAATAAAGTTTGTGCCACAAAGAGGATTCTCCATCACCATGCAGAAGGTATCAGACTTTCACTGTTTCCACCGACTTCACTTTATATCTCACAAGTTTTCAGCTGTGAAAAGTATCATGTGTCAGATTTGAGTTGAAAACACTGTCGACACTCGTCAGGAATCAGTCACTCAGACTTTATTGATGTTTAGTTATTTCCTAAAAACAAAATGTAACACAAAGAGTTTGACATGGAAACGATCAAGTACCAATACACACAATTACACACATATACACACATGTACTTCGGACACATACAAAGCAATGGCTTAACAGAGAACTGAGAAATAAAAAACACAAATATCCAAATTTCAAAATAGCAAAATATTGAAATAAGTTAATTTCAAATCTTTTTTCTACAGAGGGACGATGAAGTGAAAGGTGCGACTGGATATACTCCACAGAAAGGCTCAAAGGTGAGATCCTACATTTGAATGGGTTTAGTGTATTTATACAATATCCATGTGCTTTGATTCCTGATACAAAGACATGAGTGACAACGACATACACGAATGTAGTGACTGGGTTTTATGTCGTTCTGTAACTTTAACATTACATCGTGTAACTTGATCAAGGATGATGCGTTTGAGGATGTAGAAGAGATCAAAGGCTTCAGTCTTCAGTCAACAAGCAAGGTAAAAACAAAACGACTTTCACGAAAGTTTTCATTTGTTGTTTCGTTTTAAATCCAAAAACTTCATAGACTGAATTAATGTTTCTGACATAGTGAGGTTTTCAGAATATTTTAAACTTACCGCTGACTTTTTTTTAATCATATTTTAAACGACATGCTAACCTATGACTTTTTTATCATATTTTAAACGACATGCTAACCTATGACTTTTTTATCATATTTCGTACGACATACTAACCTATGACTTTTTTATCATATTTTAAACGACATGCTAACCTATGACTTTTTTTATCATATTTTAAACGACATGCTGACCTATGACTTTTTCATCATATTTTAAACGACATGCTAACCTATGACTTTTTTATCA